GTAGAAACAACAAATTTCATAGTTTAATATTCTGAGCAATATTCTATTTCATTCCCTAAATTAATTGCAGACTTGATCAGAAAGAAATAAAAGGCTACTCAAAATTGGTTGGTGTCCACCAAAAGAAGCCCCATAGAGTTTTCTATGACAAATGTTTAAATTTAATGATTTCATGATTTAATATAATGTGATTCTGATATAGTGTCCTAAATAGCTCAGTACATCGAAGGGAAAGAGTCCCCTATGAGCAACATTATAGTTGCCTTTGTACCTAGATCAGCAAACAGTTATGTTCAATGATAGAATTCTGCCAAATAATTTTGTAAAAAGAAAAACTAATAATGCAGCCTAGTACAGTAGGAAAAATACTGGATTTGGAGTCAGGGGTCATAGATTCAAATTCTGGCTCTATCACTTGACCTGGTTCTACCAGAGTAAACTTTGGTAGTCACTTAGGTTCTCTAGGCCTCAGTTTTCCCATCTGTAAAATGAGGGAGAGGAAGTGGACTAGGTGATCTCTAAAGTACATTACAATTCTTAATCTATGAATATGATGTGGTCTAGGGCTGCCAGGAACCCCAAAATGCAAGGGTACAGGCCGGGTTGGCCTCAAAAGAATTCAACCATTCAGTCCAATTAGGGAGTTTATCATGAAACCAACTGAGTGGGCAATATTCCTAGTGAGTCTTGCTTAATGGGGGTGAGAATGATGCTTTTATACAGAAAAAGGGGAAAAGGGTCAGTGAAAACATCTTGATGGGATTAAGGAGTAGCAAGTAGCCTGGGGTGGTCCAGAGGCAACGAAGAATGAAAGGCTGTGCTGGGTCAGAGGGTCACAAAGAAAGAACAGTTGAAAGGATTATACTGGGATGGGATGGATTCCTCAAGTGAAAGCCAGAGACTGGGTACCTAAAATTTGTGGGAAAGTTCAAGGACTGAGGGTCTTTCCCTTGTCCAGGTCCCCCCATCAAATCTATACAGGATAACAAAAAATGCAGATTCCTATTTTATACACAAAAGCATCTACAACTATAATCTTTCAATGGTTTCTTGAAAACATTTCACATTACCAAGATCATTTTTACAAATAATTTTTATGTTTTCACATTTTAGTGCTAGAAAGATTTCTGAAGACACCAACTTTCAAAAAAAAATTATAGCCAATCCTCAACTTTTATCAACTTAGCCTTAAAGCATTCAGTCAATTACAAGGATGCTATTTATGCCAAAATATGTGGCATGATTAGTCTGTTTATTGGTCTACAGGAAGGAATCACTATACAGTGCACTGCATTCCAGGCCTCTGAAGGTCTCTTCAATTGCTACATGGCTTCTGTCCCATGTTCCCTAGCTCTCAGGCTTGGATAAAACCCCTACTGGGAAAGAGAGAAAACCTAGGTGGGGAACCCTCTGGATCCTGGCCTCAATCATAACCCTATAAACCAAAGTCCCCAGATTGCTTCCTCAAGGTTCTGTAACATCCTACCTGCCAACTACAGTCCCTTCATGAAAAACTTCAAAAAAATTCAAATAAATATTGTGATTTTTCCTTCATACCTGAGTGTCAGGCATTACACTGGCTTGTGTAAATGTATTTATTTCGTTCAATGATACAATTATCTACTTAGAGCTTTATGTTACACAACTATATTACACATATAGTTTCTTAAAATGTTTGTGGTCTCTTTTTTTTTCTTAGATTAGACAAGTGATTTCATCAATGTAGGGAGTGCTCAGTAAGGATTTGAAATAGAAGGATACTTTCTCTAAAGCCCAAGGGCCTGATAATAATAATAGTCAATAGCTAACATTTACATAGCTTATATTTGTAAAGCATTTTACATATGAAATAGCCCCTCAAGGTTAATACCACTCCCTTTTCCCCTTCCCCAACTCAACTTGGTACACTTAATCAAGGCTTGAGTCACCAGAGGGTGGTCACTGCTTCAGGTTCTAGAGGTGACCCTAATGGTCTGCTCCCCTCCATAGCTAACTCACTTCCCAGCTGCCAGTGGCCTATTTCTTAAATCTATCTCCCAGTCTCTTTGTATTGTCTGTCTACTAAGGAAAAGAAAAAAAGGAAAGGGAATGAGCATTTATTAGTCCCTGCTATAGGCTAGGCTTTTACAAATACATATTATCTCAATCCTCAACAAATCTATGGGGTAGGTCCTATTATTATCCCCATCTTACAGTTAAGGAAACTGAGACAGACAAAGGTTACATGACTTAGCCAGTCACACAGCTAATAAGTATCTGAGGCCAAATTGAACTCAGGTCTTCCTAACTCCAGGCCCAGAACTCTATCCATTGAGCCACCTGGCTGGCTGCCCCTATCCAGAGTATCTCTGCTCCCAGTCCTACCATTCCACTTAGAAGCAACACAGTCAATGGTCGGGGGAGAGGCAGTGGGACTGGAGAGAGGTGAACCAGAAATTGCCTCCTCCTCCCTTTCAGAGATCTCCTCCAAAGGCAGCTCCAAGCTGGCAATGCTCCAGCTCCCTTGAACTGCCAAAATTTGACCAATACTTAGCTACTTAAAGCCCCCAAGGGCATGGGCTTTCTGATTTGTGCGGCCAGCCCAGTTGTTCTCATCTTGACTTAATCCGAGAAATGATCAGCACTCTGGATAAGTCCCTGAACCTGACTCAACCAGTTTCCTCATCTATAAATCGGGGATAATAACAGCACCTCTCTAACAGGATTGTTGTGAGGATCAACTGAGATAGTGTATGTACAAAGCCTTGAAAATATTAAAGCACTATATAAATGATAGCTATCATCACCATGAATATTATTATTAATGATAATATACAATGATAATAATCTGGTGTGGGTCTATTTTTACAGTTAGTTTCACATCGTGTTAACACTTTTTGATTACATTATGGGATTTCTGGGCAAGGGAACTAGTCAAAAACCGAAGCCTCTCTACATGTCATCTCACTGAGAGGTAGGTTAAGTGACTTTCCTATTATCATACAGCTAGTATATGTCTGAACTGATACAGGCCTAGAAATCTAAGGCTTCCTAATTCTAAGGCAGGCCTATACCACACTGACTATCTATGATACTATCTATGTACCCTGGAAATTATTTTGATTCTACAAATGAGGATTTCAAATATGGGCCCCTTCCTACAGAGTATTTCTTGGAGCCATAGTCGTTGGCCCACAAGAGACGGTCATCATGATGTTTCTTAATTGACTGGGTCTGACACTTCACTCCGCAAGTCTGACCCAATATAGCAGGAGTAGAGAAGGCACCTTAGAAGTCTTATAGTCTTCCAAAGCAGCCATCTTTGTCAAAGTAAGGCAAATTAAAAAATAAAAATCCATAGCAAAACGCTGTCTGAAGCTGTTCCTCTCCACTACATAGAATAGACATGAAAGTCACTGATCTATATATACAGTACACACACTTTTAAATCCATGTATATAAATCAAATGAAAATGCTTTCTTTAAGGCAAGCGTGTGAAGATACTAAAGCAAGGTGCCAATTAAATATTCATACATTCAATATTTCAAAATAAGGCATTTGGATATACACATGCATAATTTACAGTTCTATAGTGAAACCTGTCTACAGAGACCATTTTCACTGTATTTCAATTGCATCCTAACTTGGGCTGCACAATGCAGCTTTACTCTCCAATGTTAAAACTTCAAAATACACAATAATTCACCTCAAGCAAACAGACTAAAGACCACGTTGGGCACATGACACTCTCCTACACAAACTAAAGTCAGAGCACTTTCAGGATATCTTCCCCACCGTACCACTTTGGGGAGTGGAATCAGAGGAAAGAGGAAATGAACTTACTGGCAAAAGCAGTAACTCTGCAAAAAGATTCAAGTAGTTAAGTCTGAAGAGCTACAACTTAGAGATACACATGGTTAGCTTACATTTTTATATATTCCTTGCCATTTACTCCATTAAGATAAAAGAATATGAACTCTACATACCTAGGGAATATATGAAGTGATTTAAACAGAAGTCATTATGACTACTTAAGCATCCTATGTCAGATATGTTTTTAAATAGTTGAATCTATTTAAACATGAGGCTTCCCCCCCCCCCAAATATATGCATAATAGAGTTTGGGACTTTTTAAAAAAAATAATCCCTAAGCCACTCAAGATTTACATACCAAAGGCTCAAATATCTCCTCACTACTCCACAGTGTGGACATGGCAAGAACAAAACAAAACAAAAAAAAAAGGCCTTGTGTGTTTAAACTTCCTTCCCAAATGGTAGATGTGTCATTTGTATATGACTACATAATGATTTGCATATACTGAACCACTGGTAAAACCTGAACAGGTATATATTCCTAGCTAAACTAAACATAACTAAAATTATATCACCACTGTAAATCACTCAATAAAAAAAAAAATCTATGGGCATTGCAATGAATATACTTTTGCCTTAGAGCTAATACTTTAATTTTTAAGAACCAGAAAGAAAAAAATCAAAACTAGTCAGTAACAATGCAGCGTCTAAAAGCAATAAACTCAAAATTAAGTTATAAATAATTTAAAGCATGTCATGAAGATGTATTAATAATTCATCAGATAAATAATTTACTAAATAATCAAATAAATAAATAATGAAATACATAAATAAATCAGCAAATAAATAATTCTGCAAAATAACCTAAACAATAAGTCACCAAAACAAATGACAACCTGCAAAACTACAATGATTTTCTAAGTTCTGATAGTTTTAAATAAGCAAATGTATATAAACTAAATCAATCCTTGTTAGATACAGGAATATTTTTCACTACTATTGGTGAAATTCTTATTGGACTAAGAACATATTTTCAAATTTTTCAAGAATGCATGAGTAAATTATAAATTATTAAGTATAACTGTTAAAATACATCCTTCTCTGTATTACACATAGCTATCTCTATTAACAAATTTTCCTCCAAAATAAATGGCCATCCTCTTTACAAGATCTTTAATTCACTTTTTCTACCCAGAATAGTACTTACAGTACAATAGTGCTTTAGCCTTTTGGGTTGTTTTCTATCTTCTCCAAATCTTTAGAAGTTTTGCTGCAGGGAAAGAACAAACAGAATAACCTTAATTATTACAGATGGCACCTCATTCATTAGTGGATGACATTTTTTTTTGAAAGCACAAGAAAATCTGTTTTATAATTCTACAAAGCAACTTAATGTGAAACAACCATTACTACTTGCAAACTACCTAAAGTTTTAGAAGTCTTTGGTGGAACGAGTTCAAGCAGATTGAGGCCTGCTTCTTGTATTTAAACTGACACACAATCTGTGCAACTGGCAGTATTTCAGATGAGAAGACAAAAACTGAGAAGGACAAAATGTTTGGCTGACATCTAATGTTATCCTTGGTTTTAGAAGCCCAAAGTCCTTTAAAGAATATAGTGAGATCACTTAATTTCTACAATCTGAATACACTCACGATTTAATTAGAACTCTATACTTCAAATTCAATAATAACACCAAAAGGGGTCAAAAAACCAATGACTCCATAAAGCAACCTTCATCCTGAATTGATTTTAATATATTATAATAGTACTCATTATATTTTTCTTGAAATCTATAGGGATACTGCTTTCTGAAAGCCAAGTCAGAACACAAAATGGGGTTTATTTATACATTTAATGTGCATGAAATGTCTGTTTCAATACATTAAGCATCTGTGAATTTGGTGGTATGATTATTCCTCTCACCAATGCAGATTACAATCCCTTCACGATTTAGCTAAACCGCCATTGCTGAAAAATTCATCACCTAGTGAACATCCTAACCTAAGACGACCATGTTTGAATTTAACTAGGCTGATTCACACTTAGAAAACAGACATACAGTACCAGAGCTCTTCTGCCCATAGTCTTTCCAGATTTCATTTTGGCCTTTTATCCTCACTGCCTTGCTCAGTGTCTGGGAGATACTTTATAAATGATCCTTGATCAAGTGACATGATAGAGCTTACCCTCTATGAGCACAGCCTTCAAGAAGCCAGAGACACTTCTCTGCAAGAAACAAAGAGAGTAGAACTTTAAGGGAAATATGCACTTAAGGAAAGCATAAAGACATAAACTTTCATTTTCCTATATTGTTTTAAATCATAACATTAGCACCAACAACAGAATTACTCTAATATCTAAGAAATTATCTTTGTGATAATCATAAGAAAAGAGCAACCCAGAGACTGGCAAGCTCAGTTCTGATCTTAACACCACCAGCAAAAGCCTAGAAAAAAATGTGAATTTCACATTTAAGTGACGGAGTTAAGTTACTCTATCTTTTTTGACTGAACTAGTAAACAGTACTGCAACAATAGTAAATACAAAAAGCAGTTCTCAATCTCCTCCCCAAGATTGCTAAAAACTTCAGGTTAAACTAATTCAGTGTTTTTGAGTTTAGAAATCTGTTTTATTTTAAAATAATTTTGTTGTTCTGAAAATCCACTTACAAAGTTCTAATTTAACATTCTGGCAATTCACATCAGATTACAAGAGGTTTAGTCAGATCATAGTTGGATATAAACAAGTTATCTATATCTCATTATCTACATGTATCTACATACATGTATATAGTCAAGTTAAATGGACAACTTTCTTTTAAAAGTGCTCCATTAAATCTGTGAATAAGAAGTTAATTTTTTTGGCTCTGAAGTTTCACTGGCCTTCCAGGTCACATGACTGCCAAATGGAAGATCAGACATTTTCTCAAGTACTAATGAACTCTTAAAACTTCCCCAAAATCAGAATTATGCCCATTGCAGCCATCTCTGCAAGCCAAGACAAGAAGAAGCCAAGGGAACAATCTGAAGACTAAATAGCAGAGTAGGCTAACGCCTAACTGTAAAAAGTTCCCTCAACACCTCCTCCCCTACCAGGCCTCCAGTTATGTAGGGCTGCAGAGCCCAACCTAAACCACTCACTATTTCCTTGCTGCTGCTGGGGCAGTATCTGCCAGTATACGTTGCCCCTGCCCTCTGACAGGGCAACCAGCAGCCAATCCCAATTCAGCCCATTTCCTAATGGAAGAAAGGAAGATAGAGTAAAGGGAAAGTGTGACCTGCCAGGGAAACCAGTCAATAGTCAGTCAATTGGTAAGGGCCTACCAGGTTTCAGACACTTTGTAAACGCTGGGTATACAAAAAAAAAAAAAAAAAAGAGGCAAAAAACAGTCCCTGTCCTCAGAAGAGCTTACAAATCTAATGAGGGAGACAACATGTAAACAATTATATACAAAGCAAACTATATACAAAATAAATAGGAAATGATTAACAGAGAGAAGACACTAGAATTAAAAGGAGATAAGGGAAGGCTTCCAGTAAAAGAAGAAAGTGTAGTTGGGACTTAATGGAAGCTAGGGAAGAATGGAAGCCAGAGAGATGGAGTCTTGTTTGTGGAACAGCCAAGAGGCCAGAGTCACTGTATTGAAGAGTACATGGCAGGGAGTAAGGCAGGAGGGGGCTGGGTTATGGAGGGCTTTGAATGCCAAACAGGGCATTGTATTTGCTTCCGGAGGCTAAAGGAAGCCCCTGCAGACTTTTGAGTTGTTGTTCAGTCCTTTTGTACTGTCAGATTCTTCATGACCCCATTTGGGGTTTTCTTGGCAAAGATACTGGAGTGGTTTCTCCAGCTCATTTTACTGAGAAGGAACTAAGAAAACAGGGTTAAGTGATTTTTCCAGGGTCAAACAGATACTCTGAGGTAAAATTTGAACTCAGGTGACCTGAGTACTCTATTCACTACACCTCCTAAATGCCTCTGGTTCTTGAGTAGCCAGGTGATAACAATCAGATTTTCACTTTAAGAAAATCACTTTAGTGGCTGAATAGAGGATAGACTGGAATGGGGAGACTTGAAGAAGGCAGAAGCCCCAGCCACTATTGCAATAGTCCAGTTGTAAGGTGATATGGGCCTGACACAGGATGGAGGCAGTGTCAGAGGAGAGAAGGGGGCATATTCAAGAGATGTGGCAAAGGTGAAATCAACAAACTTTGGTAAAAACTTGAATGTGAGAAGTGAGAGAGAGGGAGGAGTCCAAGAAGACTGGCAGGTCATGAGCCGGGGGGCCTGGGAGGATGCCCTCCTCCACAGTGACAGTTTTAGGAGAAAAGATAAAAGATAAAATTTCTGTTTTCAATATGTTGGGTTTAATATGTCTACTGGACATGCAGTTCAGTATTTCTAAAAAGCATATGGAGATGTGAGAATAGAGGACAGCAGGGAGTTTCAGTGCTCAGCCAAGAGAATTAAACAACAGAAGAAACTGGGGCAGGGCACTGGCATGTTTGTGGGGCTACAGCAGGCCTGAAGGAAAGAGGATAGGTACCTAGCTAAGGCCAGTTCTATCTTTGAGAAAGAAGTCACTTGGGAAGGGACTTTGGCCAATGAAAAAGTGTATTTTCAAACATGGAAGAAGGCTGAGACAGCTCTGAGGTTCAGCCCCCAGGGCATCACAAAAGGAAAATATAAGCAAAAATGACTGAAATTACCAAAGATCTCAGGTGGAAGAAATTTCAGTTAAAAACCTAGAGCACAAGCAGATAAATCAACAGACAATTAAAACAGAAGAGAAGATGGCCAACAAGACATCTAAATGAGCCCTAACATCTGTTAGTAAATATTACAAGACAGAGGAAATTGAACCTTTACCTGATGAGGCAGGGAACCCTGCAGAATCCTAAGAGAACATGGAACCAAGCAAGATTTTCCCAAATGGTTCAAAAGAGAAATGAGAATCCTAAAAGCGCAAGTTAAAAGGAAACAAATGGCAAAATTTATGGCCTGTAGTAGAGAAATAATTAACAGAATAAAAGAAGCTGAATCCAAAGTGAAGAGTCTTTTCAAAGACAAAATAGAAGGTAACTAATTGGGAATACAACCAGCTCAAGTGGCAATCAAGAGAAGAGAAGCAAAATGAAGTAAGGTTAAATGGACACATGATTTCTATTCAGCTAAACAAACTGACAGGATGCACAGAAAAACTTAAGGATCAAAGATCTTCCAGAAGAAAAGTAAAAAACTTGAAAGTTAAGCAACTTTTATGCCATCTGAATACTAAAATTTATTAATTCAAATATCTTAAGTCACCTTTAAAAGACAGCCAATTTGCTTCTTGCTAAATTAGTACCAAGTAAGTCTTCAATTCTCTTTAGGTATTAAGATAAGGAAAAACATGATAAATCATAAGCTATATTTATTTAAACTAAAGGGTATCCTTTGGATAAACTGCCATTGTTTGTCAAGAAAAATCAACATAATCAAATGACTTGTTCTTTTGTGTGGTTACATTTAAACAGTTAGCTGAAGGAATGCACAAGTATCACATCACTTTCTTCTCCCTCTTATGCTTACATCAGAATTTGTTTTAGAAAGCACCATTTCTTTCGGACAAGGCAAACATCCGCTTCAAAGTAAGCCTTATACCATCAACAACTGCTAAGTGTATGGTGCCTGCTGTGTAGTATTCTAAATCTGCAGTTAAAAATACAACCCGAAGGATCCCCTATCTTTTTTGACAACCATTATGTAAAACCAAGCTGTTTCTCAACAATTAATTTTACACCTCTGAGAGCTTTTTTTTTTTAATTTTGGTTAATTACTAAATTCGATCAATAGTTTTCAGGCATATAACTATCTTCACCTCTAACACAAGAGTGACTGATCCAACTTTAAAGTGAAAGTACAAAGGAAGAATGTCAAAAGTCACACCAAAATATTTAGAAAACAAGTCCTTCGGGCCCCCAGTCTATTTATTGGGCAGTGATCCTAGGAAAGATAAACTAACGTGGCCCTTCAGGAGAGCCAGAGCCTGTGAATTCTTAGGGGAAATTTGCTTAGAAACTTGCTGCCCTGTGTGAACAGTGGGGGGGGGGGGAATCTTCAATACTCTTTGTGAAGCAGCTTCTTATAGGTCACAGAGCTTGTTGCCTTTCAAATTTTGAACCAGCATCATTAGGCTGGCCTAGAGTATAAGAGGTGGGGATCAAAATTCTAATGAGGCAGCTGACCAGATACAATTAGCGAAGGGGTAGCCAAGGAAGGGAGTCACGGTCTAAAACAGAGGTGTCAAACTACTGGGCTGTACCAGATTAAAATGTAACTGGGAAATGCTTAACAAAATAAATAAAGTTGCAATACAGTATAGATAATGTTAATTTGAGGTTTTCTAAATCAATACACTGCCTGCAGGGATTTATTTCTATTTGTGTTCAACAACATTAGTCTAGAAGACACTATGTACAGAAAGCACATGCTATGGCATTAGAATAGAAAGAAATCAACATGGGGTGAGGGGGTTGTCTAGCTAACCAGATTTAAACATTCTGCATCCTTATTTTTCATCACCATCTAAAAGGTTTCTACATCCACTATTGGTTTCTTCCTCCTTTTGTAAGTGTTGTGATTTGTCCATATTTTCTGAAGCTGGTCTTTCCTAGATTATGTCAATCAAGGAACTGACCCAAATTCTATGCTTTGGAGGCCAGCGGTAAGCAATGACTCACAGAGGTACTAAAAAGAAGAAGCCCACCAAGTCATTCGATGGTTCTGCACTGCCTTGAGGAAAACCCTATCTGAGGACTGACAATCAGGTCAGAGGAAGCAGGAGTTCGATATTTAATAATATAAAAAGCTTTCTCAGTTTTAAAATATACTACCCTGTTTGCTGCTGTTTGCTCTTTCTCCTTTTATTAATTTTTTCATAAATTCCTATGGGTGTCCATTTGAAGAAAGAATAAGAGAGGATAACTAGGCTGTGAGGGAAAGGAAGATACCTCATATCTCTTTCTATTTCTTCTCTGGGCTTTTACACTATAATGGGAACGAACATCCATGCAGGTTAAAAACCTGCCACATAACCACATGGGCACTTAAGAAAATTATTGTAAATTTAGACTTTAGGCTTTTTGTTTTACTTGGAAATTATACCTAATCCTAAGCAAAGAAGTCTCACCACAAGGTAGCACCTTTAGCAATGAACAAAAAAAATAAATAAATTCACAGCTCCACAC